GTAGGATTGCCCAACCTTCCTTCCGAGGAGTGGCTGGTGGGTTTGAACCGCCAGCCGTCTGGTGAGCAGGCAAGTGTCTTAGCCACTATGCTAGAACCACATAAATGCCCAGTAAATATTCCTAGAATTAATTTGATGGGGGAGGGAGTACTGACTGTGAGTTAATATTAACGTATGTACATGTGTGATTCTGGGCACACGTTGAGGTTTTCTTGTGTGTCTGTGTGTATATTATTAGACGTTGATGTGGCTATACAATTTTGTCCATATGCATATTATCATGCTGGTTTTCTCTATGCTTTGGGATTTATTTTTTAATTTGAAAATGCTTACCAGTCTCTATACTCTCCCTAGGCCCTTTTGGCATTCATGGCCCTCTCCTTCATTCGTGATGAGGTTGCTTGGCTGGTTCGCCATGTTGAAAACGTCACCAAGACAAAGACACCTGAGGACTATGCTGACTCGTTAGTATTTGACATAATTAAGAACTTTGCCCTTAGATGGACTGGAATAAGGGTACAGGGGAGGGATCAAATAATTTTAGAAAGTCTAAATTGCTGCCTTGTTATTCACTGTCTTTGTCTTAGTTTATATTTCTGGTTTCGTATATCTCTCTGTTCTCACCCTCTTTTTTATAGAAGCATTGCAGAACTGCTTTTCTTGTTAGAGGAGATTAGAGCTCTGGTCCGAAGACATGCCAAAGTGATACAGCAATATCATCTTCAGTACTTGGCCAGATTTGATGCGCTTGTGCTGAGTGACATCATTCAGGTATGTTTAATTGATTATACTTTGGAAATTTCAGGGTGGTCCTTGGTCATTTTCCTCTTGGAGCCACCCTGGCTGAAACTCATGTTCTGTAGATTGGGTGTCAGAAAACTTGATTTCCCCTCTATATGCATATATAGGAGCTCTGGTAGCATAGTGGCTAAGGCACTTAACTGCTAACCAGAAGGCTGGTGGTTCAAACCCACTAGCCACTCCTTGGAAGGAAAGTTGGGCAATCTACTTCCCTAGTGATACTGCCTCGGAAACCCAAGGAGGAGTCACTGTGAGTTGGGTCCGACTCAACGGCACATAACAACACAACAACATATGCATATATGAGAAGCTCTGATGGCACAGTGGTTAAGGCATGTGGCTGCTAACCAAAGGGTCAGGGGTTCAAACCCACCAGCCACTCCATGGGACAAAGATGTGGCAGTCTGTTTCCATAAATATAGCCTTGGAAACCATATGGGGGCAGTTCTACTCTGTCTTGTAGGGTCACTATGAGTCAGAATCAATTCAATGGCAGTGGGAAGGTTTTTTATATAGAAATTTTTGTTGTTGTTCGGTGCCATTAAGTCAGTTCCTACAACAGAAGTAAATACTACCTGGTCCAGTGCCATCCTCACAATTTTTGCTATGTTTGAGCCCATTATGGCAACCACCATGTCAATCCATCTTGTTGAGGGTTTTCCTGATAACATGTCCAAAGTATATGAGATGAAGTGTCATCATATCCGCTTCTAAGGAACATTCTGGCTTTTCTTCCAAAAAACAGATTTGGTAGTTCTGGCAATGCACCATATATTCAATATTCTTTGCCAATACCCATAGTGCAAAGATGTCAATTTTTCTTACATCTTCCTTATTCATCGTCCAACTTTTGCATACATGTGAGGCAATTGAAAATACCATAGCTTGTGTCAAGCACACCTTAGTCCTCAAAGTGACATCTTTGCTTTTTGACACTTTAAAGATGTCTTTTGCAGCAGATTTGCCCGGTGAAATATGTTGTCATATGATTTATTGACTGTTGCTTCTGTGAGTGGATTGTGAATCCAAGTAAAATGAAATCATTGACTATTTCAGTCTTTTCTCCTTTTATCATGATGTTTTTTATTGGTCCAGTTGTGAAGCTTTTTTTTTTTAATGCATTTTATTGAAATACAATTTATGTACAGTGAAATACACAAAACTAAAGTGACATGGGTCAGTGCATTTTTTTTTTCAGTGTTCCCTTCCCTCCCCTCCTCCCACCCCTTGGCAACCAACAAAGAAAGTTTCCTTCCATATATAAACCTTTCCTTGACCCTTCACAACAATGAACTAATACTATATCTGTCCTTCTGTGATTGACTTGTTTCACTCAGCATAATGTCCTCCAAGTTCATCCATGTTACGAGGTATTTTGCAGTTTCTACATTATTCTTTAGTGCTGCACAGCATTCTATTATGTGTATGTACCATAGTTTAGTCATCCACTCTTCCATTGATGGACATAGGTTGTTTCCATCTTTTTGCTATTGTAAATAGTGCTGCGATTAACATGGGTGTGTATGTATCTATTCCTGTCCTGGCTCTCACTTCTCTAGGATATATACCTAGTAATGGGATTGCTGGGTCAAATGTTATTTCCAAATCCACTTCTTCATACTTTCTTTCAAAGCTCAGGGCTCCAAGATTATCTTTTGTATCTCTCTGTCAATTGATTTCTCTTTTCTTTGTTGAAGAAGGTCTGTGGAGCTTGTCTGCCTATTCCTCCATCTTACTGGAAGTCTCCAATTTTTGTTTTCTTTATGTGGAAGTGTAATCCATACTGAAGGCTGTAGTCTTTGATCTTCATCAATAGGTGCTTCAAGTCCTCTTTACTTTCAGCAAGCAAGGTTACGTCATCTGCATATCTCAGGTTGTTAATGAGTCTTCCCCAATCCTGATACTGCATTCTTATTCATGTAATTCAGCTTCTTGGGTTGTTTGCTCAGCATACAGATTGAATAAGTATGGTGAAAGAATATAAGCCTGATACACACCTTTCCTGATTTTAAACCATACACTATCTCTTTGTTCTGTTTGGACAACTGCCTCTTGGTCTATGTACAGGTTCCACATGAGCACAATTCTGGAATTCCCATTCTTCACAAATTATCCATAATTTGTTATGATCCACACAGTTGAATGCCTTTACAGAGGCAATAAAACACAGGTAAACAACTTTTTAGCCAAGACCCATTTGACATCAGCAATGATACCCTCATTTCATGTTCTCTTCTGAATCTGGCTTGAATTTTTGGCAGTGCCCTGATGATGTATTGCTATAACCATTTTTGAATTATATCAGCACATTTTTTAAAACAAAATTTTATTGTGATTTGGGTGAAAGTTTACAGAGCAAACTCATTTTCCATACAGCAGCTCACATACACTTTGTCTCATGACATTGATTGCAATTTCCCACAATGCAAGAGCATTTCCTCCCCATAGTTACCTCTTCCCTGTGTCCTTCCCTCCCGTGCACTCCTGCCCCCCCCCCAGCTGTCTCCCTGTGCATACACAGCCCTTCTATTCTCCCATGATTGATCTCTCCAAGGAGTAT